TTATCGTCGTATCTGCTACATTCACCACTTTTAACCTTCAACCTTTATCTTATTATAATTACTTTTTTTTTTTTTTGCTACTGTTGTTACATTATATTTTTTGTTCAAAATGACGATGAAACCGACAATGACGATGATAGATTGAGCAACTACAAAAAGTGAAATCGATTTCAAATTTAAGATGAATAAAATTGAAACAAAAAACAAACTATTGCAAAAAAGCCCTTAAACTAATACTAACAATACTAACAATGATAATAGTAATAGTAATAATAGTAATAATAACAGATCAATCAGACAATCTTTTGTAACAGCCAAGGTTTCCTCACATAAGAGTGGCTAAGAAAACAGGAAAAAAGTCAAAAGACCAATAGTGATTATATGAATTTTTTCAATTATTTAACATCCCCAGCTGCAGATTACAATAGGCAATTCTTTACTGCTTTAACATCAATGCTATCGACTAAAATAGCAGTTAAAAAATTATCCGAACAATTTTGATCATTATTCTGTCAACAGTAAAAAAAGTTTTACCATTTGCACACCAAAAATTATCTGAATAGTGTAGATTTGTCAAACTTAAAAAAGTAAGCTAAACAAGAAAATTTTTTATGGAACTTGCAGTGTATAAAGCGAAAAAAAAAAGCAGTAGGAGAAAATTACAATAAGTTTAATAAAAAACAACGTCATAAAACTACCAAATGTGTGCAACAAAACGATTTTGTCTCTTCTGTTCCATTCAAATTTTGAACAATTCTTAAAAATTATTTCCTTCTAACAGAAAAGACTAAGTGCGAAAATTGTTGATAATTGACAAGTGGTTACTGTAGTCAAAATTTGATTTTTTTGTAAAAAGAAAAAAAAGAATAAAGAAAGGAAGTACGATTAGGCGACCTTTCACGTCCCTCTGTACAAAAAGTTCCTTCTAAACTTGTTTAACAAATAGACACCAAAAAATTTTTTTGGTTTAATTTTTGGTCCATAAATTTTTGCTACAATCAAAATAAAAAAAACCCCATATTTTCTTCAACAAAAGAAAAGAGGTAGCTGAATTCAGAAACTGTTACACATCTTTAAATAAAACTCTCTTTAAAAATTAACCCTCCTTAAACACGTTAACTTTTGCAGTTTCAGGAAAGTTCCAAAAAAGAACCTGGTAGTTTGAACTTTACTCTCTTTAAAGAATAAAGAAAAAAAAGCAAAAAAGAACGCACTTCTCTTGTTCTCTTTCGACTCTGTTCTTCAAAATTGCATAATTAATTGCAGATCTGCTGCTTCAGAAACAACTTTGTCCAGTAAATTTGGTTAACACCTTTCTTATCGTCCTTCAACCTTACTCTTTGATTTTTTGATACTGTTTTTAAAACTACATTGTACTGACACTACAAACCTATAAAA